ATGTTTTCGATATTTAAGCAACTTCCATTATTCGCTTTATTGTTTAAGCATATGTAATTATTAAATATAAATTCAGAAACTAAAATCTCTTGATTTTATTCTTCATTTAATAAAAGTCTTGAGAAACTCTATTAATCCTTCTTCATATTTATGCACCCTAAATTTCCACAAGTTGAATTTATTACTTTTAAATCCTAAATACGTTAATTTTTCAACATCCCTTCAATTTCTGAAAATAAAAAATAAAACAATCCATATTAACAAGTTGTACATTTTATTGAAATCAAATTAACATTTTCAATATTCAATTATGTTTCACTTGTAAGCCCCAAAAATAAGAATAATCCTGAATTCAAAGAATTTTAAATATTGTTCTCTTCATTTTTAATATGTTCTTCAACATAGTCATTTACACATTCCAGATAATCATTCTCTGTGTTTTAAGGAAGTTTAGGAAGAACAAAAGGAGAATTACTTTCTTAACAAAAAATCTATATATTTCGTTCTACTTTATTTACAGTTTAACAGCCCCAATTCGTAATTTATGAAATAGCTGTTATATTTTATAATTCTAAATTTGAAAATAATACAATATTTTATTGATCTAAATATATTTATATATTTACATTAATTTGGAATTATTGATACAAGATTATTGATAATAAGACTATTTATTATTTTAAAATTTTGAAATTTGAGTTTTGCAGCATTATTTATAATAAATGCTGATTCTAGAATTAAATTTTCAATTTGAAAATTTTGACAAATTACTTTAGAGGCTGAATCAATGTAAAATAAAAAGCGATTATTTAATAATTCTAAATATTCTAAATGAGACAAAGATGTATATTGATTCAAATAATCAAAAAAAACTTGCTTATTATTGTTAAATGCAACATTATTAATTTAAACTTCTATTTAAGATTTCTACTAAAATGAAAACTCTAAGTATGCAAATGATCCATTCTTAGCAAAAACATTATTTAAATTGATTTCTTTCATATTTATTGATATTTAGGAACTTTGGCTTTTCAAGTACAAGAAACCTCCATATTGTTGAGCATATAAATTATCTATTGTTACTTAAAAAATGTTCACAATTAGAGATAATGATGAAGTACCATCTAAATA